CGCATTCTTCAACCCAAACAGCATCACCGTGTAGCAGTATAGCCCTTGATATGTGACGAAAGCCGTCTTCTCTTGGTCTTTCTTCCACAAGGGTATCTGATAGAAGTCGGAGTAGGAATCCATGAAACTCATCAGGGCATGGCCGGCTGTAGAGTCTACCAAATGATCTATCTTTGGAAGCGGGTAGCTATCTTTTGGAAGAGCTCTGTTCAAGTTTGTGTAATCTACACACATCCGCCAGGTTCCATTCGGCTTTTTCACAAGGACAACATTGGCTACCCAATCCGGGTAGTAACATTGCCGGATGAACCCAGCATCTAAGAGCTTCTTGACCTCGGTTGCTGCCGCCTGGGACCTTTCCTCGCCATGGTTCCTTTTCTTTTGCCTAACCGGCTTCTTCTTAGGATCCACAGCGAGTTTATGAACAGCAAGATCCGGACTTACACCCGACATCTCTTCTACTTCAAAGGCAAACACATCTTTGAACTCCTTCAACAAAAGGAGCAAGTCAGGTCCCAAGCTTTCAAAATCAACCGTTCCAATCTTGACGGTTCTGTCTGGCCGGCTGTCTTCAAGGACAATGTCAATTATTTCTCCAGCCGGCTGGGGGCGAAGGACGTCTGGCCTCCCCCCTGACAATGATTGCTATTGTTTCTCCTTTACAGGCGCCAGTTGGTCCGCCTTCCTCTTTTTACCGGCTGGCTTAGTAGCCGGTAAGCTTTGATCACAGTCGTCAAGTTCAACTATTTCTTTCTCTTGACCATCTGTGTCAAGCGTTGGTTTGATGTCCGAGAGGTAACACTCTCTCTCCATCTTTTGGTCCCCACTCAAGGAACCGACTGTGCCATCATCCCTCTCAAACTTGATCAACATTAGGGATGGGATGATGACTGCTTTTGAGATGTTAAGGGTTGGGCGGCCAATAATCAAGTTGTAGGCAGTCAGCTCTCCTACAACAAGAAACTTGACAACCATGTGCCGGCCTCTTCCCTTTTCTCCGAACCGGATGGGTAGATCAATCATGCCCACCGGATGTACTACTCTTCCCCCAAAACCAACAAGAGGGTATGAGGCCGGATGCATGCTACTGGGCTTGTACTTGAGTTTTTCCAAGCACCGGTAGCTTATGAGGTCAAATGAGCTCCCGGTATCAATCAAGATCCGGCCAACTCTTTGATTGGCGATTTTGCACTCAATGACTATGGGGTCATCATGAGGCCGCCTGACCTCTCCTCTATCTTTCTTTGAGATGTTAACTTCCGAAAATGAATATTCAAACGACTGGTCCTCATCCATTGAGTTGACCAGTTTCCGAATGTTATCCTTTGTGCCCCGAATGGTAGGCCCACCTCCCGCAAATCCACCGACTATGGTCAGGATGGTTTCCTCATCCGTATCCGATTGAGTAGCCGGCTTCTTTGGGGGTGGTCCTTTTACTTGTTTGGGAGCACCCTTTGACGTGGATAGGTATGACTTGAGAGCCCCCTCATCAGCCAGCCGGTCAAAGAGCCGCCTGAGGCTAAAGCAACCCTCAGTGTCATGGCCAATTTCTTCATGAAAAAGGCAATATTTGCTTTTATCCCGGGCGCTTACAGGACTCTTCATGGGAGCCGGTTTTTCAAGATTCAACCGGTCCTTTACTTCGTTGAGAATGGAGGCACAATCCTGGTTGAATTCGTACTTTGGCACATACGGATCCAACCTTTTTATTTTCTGGAAAGGTTGTCCGGATAAGTCTGCTGCCCATACTCCCTTTCTCTTATCTTCCTTTTTGGCCGACTGGGTAAGCCGATTCTCTTTTTTGTCAGATCTTTTGTAATCCGTTGGAAGTTTTACAGCACATAATTCCATTGCCTGAATGTAAGCCTCCGCCTTCATAAGCGCCTCGTGAAGAGTAGAGACCCTCTTCCTAACCAAGTCAAACTTAAAAGTTGATCCGTCTTTTAAGCCTTTAAAGAAATCAGTGTAGGCAACGTCATCAGACAATCCATGAATTTGGATCCTCATCAGGTTAAACCGCCTGACATATGACCGGAGCCCTTCCTTATCTCCCTGTTGGATTGCCCCTAGATCAAGGCTTGTTTTCTTGGCAGGGATATTCATAGAAAAGTTGGACGTGAACCAGTAGGCCAACGTCCTGAAATTATTGATGCATCTGGCTGGGAGATTGCCAAACCAACGTTGAGCAATCCCCTTCAACGTTGTCGGGAAGTACCTGCACCATGAGGCGTCATCCAAACCCTGCAAATACATCAGGTTGGTGTATGCCATAAGGTGATCTTCCGGGTTGGTGGTACCGTCATAGGCACCTACCAACACGTTTTTAATTTTTGCCGGCTGGGTCATCTCGGTGATTTCCCTAGAAAACGTCTTTGGCTGTTCCCCAAGGTTGAGCAGCCGGAGCTGCCAGTCCATAGGCTGGACAGGCGGCTGCTGCTGACCCCCGAAAAGACCTAGCTGTGCATAAGGAGATCCAAAGGGCGTGTATGGTATCCCATGCAATGCCGATTGGATCATATGAGGGCCGGATCGAGCGGAAACCTCGCTCGTCCGGCTGTCATTGTTTGTTCTCGAGTGCCTCCCTGATGTGGCGTTAAAGTTGTCTCGAAAGATCGACGTTGATGCCGACTCGGAGCGCTACTGAGTCTTTTTATCCTGAATGAGCGTCCGGGCATCAGAATAGACTTTCTTGGTTCCATCCGGTTGTATGTGCTGGACGGGTTTTCTGACTCCATCTATGGGAGTGTGTATCTTTGAGAAATCAAAGGGCCTAGCCGACATATTTGACTTCGGATGCGGGGTAGATGCTCTACCCTTTACTGTTCTGGCTGTCTTTTTTCTAAGACGCCTATCTTCCGCCTGACCCTTACGGGGACCGGCAGTATTGTCCAGAAGGCCTTTGATCTCCCCTTTGAAACTCATCATCATGTTCATGAGTTCATCCCTGGAGACTGGGGTGGCTCCCTCTGAAGCAGGAGTTAACCCAAGCGGTCCCCTGGTAGGATGGTTTGGGCCTGCCTGCTGCTGTGCCCGTTCCCTTTTGTCTTTGGAACGAGTATGCTTGGTTCTGAAAGAACCATCGGCAGATGTGTAAGTCTCAATCTTATGATTGTCGGCTGTATCTTGGTCCGAGTGGACCTCAGCCTTAGCAGCAGGTTGACTACCTTTACCCGGCAGTACCGATTCTGAAGTCATCTAGAAAGTACTCTCCCCACAGACGGCGCCAGATGTTTGTGGGTTTTTAATGTGTCCTGCGGGAGAGTTACAATTTCCTAGTATGCTCCTTCCTTAGCCTGTACCTGCACAAATAACGGAATACTCCGGCTGGGGCTGGGGTGTTCTGCCTCCGAAGATTAAGTTAGTCTCTTTCTTGATGAGGAATTAAGACAATAAATGCTTCTCGATTTGAGAGCGTTTGCAAGGGGATTTGTGTTTTGTTGGTTTGTGGAAAAATGATTCGATCTCCATTAATGAGGTCTACCCTTACTATTTATAGTAAGGGAGAGTTGTACCTCAACTAGGGTATAATGACACGTGTCACAAAGGGATTGGGCCTTTGATGACCGTTGCAAGCTTGACACGTGGCAAGCCTTTATAGGGCCACGTGTCTTAGGGTATTTTTTCCCTAAACACATGGCCTATCTTGCCACATGAGAAGCACAATGAGTGGATATTCTCATATTGAACTTGTTGCCATCCACCGCCAAACCAAACTTTGGTAATTAGTGGATTTGTCATGTTATCTCAATGCAAACCCTTGCATATCTAGCTCTTGAGAGCTTATTAGTGGCGTAGTCCACTCTTATAGGCTTCCCAATTTTGTTAGCAATTTGAAACAAAGCTTTTTTTATCATAGTACTCCAATGGAAGTTCTGGAAATCTATTCAAGCATACATGATATCAAAGTTGGTAGTAGAAGACCTGAAGTTAGGCTTCCATTTAGTTATATAACCAGGTAATGATCCAAAATAAACCAAAGTCCTCCATATAAAGCTCTTTCATAATCATCCATAGAAGAAAATCGAAACAGACACACTTGATTTCCTACATCAATAGTTTCTAGTGTTCCTTTTGATCTTCCACATAATCCTAGTTCTTAAAGCCATAAAAGCAGGCCTAATGTTTACACCCAGACATTTACCCATAAGTGATAACTTTCATGGTTCTCTTAAACGAGATATAGTTTATGGTGTAAATTGAACTGCCAACTCCGAATTAGGATGATCCTCAGCAAGAACCTCCCAATCTAAAGTAGTCATTGCAATATTTCGAGTTTCACTAAACCATTGGGATGAGCTAGCCACTACTTTCCTAAAGGAGATTGCATGAGAGGAAGGTGGTGGCGCAACATCAACTCCTTTGGCCTCTTCCATGACATTATTTTCATCATAATGAGCATCCATCATATCCTCCTCATTACTAGTGATCACCGGATTAATATTACCCTCTTCCATGAAATGGAAAAGCTATTAAAAAGAAAGAAAACAACTTATAAGTTTAAACTTAAGCAAACTCCTAAAGTCCCCACACCCCTGTGTGTGAAGAAAACCCCTAGTTATTCACATAAGCTAAAAGCTAGAAAGCAGAGCTGCTCATTCAATAATAATCTCGCCGATAGGGGACACTATTGTAAAATGGCTACTATACTTATTATAATGTAACGTTTTTCTTTAATCGGAATATTCTACTCTGCCTATTTTATTACTTTAATTATATTTCCCCCCCAAAGGGTCAACACTTCTTACTCACTCGTACTTTTAAACTTTGTACTCGTATTACTTGGTATTTGTTTTCTACAGTATTACTATTAACTCAATATTGGGTCAAAGTATTAATAGAGAGAGTGGTAATATTTGTTTATTTACCTAAAATATGAGTAACAAAATCACTGTAGAAACGCTGGAACCGTAGCTTATGAATAGTGGAGTACCGAAATTGCCCTTTCTGCGAAATTACATTGCTGCCCTTAACTATGCGTTGTTGACTTGTTGCCTTACCCTTCGTCCCTTCCCTTTCCTTTTCTTCCCTAATTCGCACACGTAAACTATGGCGGTGGTTGGTCCTTCAAAGCTTGATGAAGAAGCTTTGATCATTTCATCATAATACCCAACTTCAAACTTCCTTAACAATTCTTAAAAATGCCCAAATTTTCTTGTGATGTCAGATGGCTTCTTCTTGTTGCTGGCTTGCTGCTGTCGCATTTATCTACATACAGGTAAAAATAAGCAATTTCAGTATTATTTGATTATTAATTTCCTTTAATCTTCACTTCTTGAAAACCGTAATTTCATCTTTTAAGTAATTGATTGATTACATTTTCATCGATTTTAGTGTTCGGCAGTCGTTTAATTAGTGATATTCTGTTTCTGATGAAATTTTACTTTTTGGGATCCCTTTAATTTATTGTGCGGAGTAGTTCGGAAGAATTTAGTTTGATTGTATGTACTGATATTTAATTGAAATGGTTAAGGAGAATTAGTTTACTATGGTGGAGTTTGTGGCTTCAAGCTAAGAAGTAGAGTTTCAGGGATTTGATGGTAAGAATTAGTTGGTTTGGGTTTCGAAATCGGAGATATTGCATATTATAATTTGAAAATGTTGATAATTATGGCCCTATGATTAAAATGTTGTTGGATAACTGCCGGTGTAAGTTGAGGTACACCAGTATAGCCGGCAATGATAAGGGATTAAGGTTTAATTTATAGACTCGACTATTGTAAAATTAGTAACACTTTAAATGTGTATGGGGTTTACTGCTTTTGTGATGATGATCCCAATTTAGAGGTACTAGGTCATTTTGTAAGCTTACTTAGTCATTGTCGTCAAGGGCTTCAAGTTCTGGTGTGAAAGCAGGTTTATGTTTGAGTTTGCTTGGTGATTTATGTATCTTCTGCATTTTATATATTACACTTTGTAATAGCATAGTGTCACATTCTAAATGTTATAAGCTACTTCGTATAAAAACTGTGGAGTTTCAACATATTGCTTCTTTGGTGTTATTTCTTTTATATTAGACGTAGCTGTTTGCTATGCAATCAAAGTGTGCTGATCGCCTGGCTGCTGCGATATGTGGACATTGTTTAAATTTCATGATGCTCTTGTGTTAGTGATGGAATGCTTATGATATATATATTTTTTTATTTTGAATTATCTTGACATGTTGACTTCGTGATACTTGTTGTACCATTTTTTTTTGGAAAAATTCATGGCAATAATCCGACCTTTAGCCCATTCTTTTTTAATAATCCGACCTTTTGATTATTATTTAATAATCCGACCTTTGGGGGTCTTTAATTTTTATTGATCCCATTTGACCAGAAACCGATTGAAGAGGTAATTTTTTATTTTATTTTTTATTTAAAATGCACGTGTCATTACATTATTGGTCCAAAAAAAAAAAAAAAAAATTAAAAAACCCAAATAATTAAGCCACCAGCCCACCACCACCACCCAACATAAATTTTTTTTGGATTTTTTATTTTCTCTCTCCTTACCCCAAACACCACCACTGCTCCACCCATCCCCACCACCGCTGCACTACTCCGGTCCCCATCCCCACCACCAAAAGCTTCCCTTCCCCTTCCCGACCACCACACCCTCCCTTCCCTCAACCCCTCCCCCCCCCTCCAAATCGACAAATTGATCTCCCCTCCTATCGGGATTTTGATGCAGTGTGTGGAAGGGAAGGGGGGTGCGAATTTGGGGTTTCCGATTGAGAAAGGTAGCCGGAAAAGGTATGAGGGGGTGGTTTCGCGAGCGAGCAGCAGGTGGGAGGGTGGTGGTTTCGCGGATGGCAAACGGGTCGGATCTTTCTTGCTTGATTAACCCAGATCCATTAATGCTACACTTGGATTTTCCTTTAAATATTTGATTTTGGTGGTCTGAACAAGGTTGCACTTTGACCCACACTACCAAACCTTCGAAATCCATTTCCTGAATCCCAGTAAAAAGCTTTTGTTCATGAGATTAAAATGAAAAAAAAAATGGATCTTTGTAAATGGGTTGGTTTGGGGGGGAAGGGGAGGGGCAGTTTCGGAGGTGGGGCTGGGAAAGGTGGTTGTTTTCGGTGGATTGGAAGGAGAAAGGGATGGTTTTCGGTGAGGTTGCGGCAGTTCCGGACTGGACTAGGGGGAGGGGGGTGGCTGGTAGGGAGGAGAAGTTTTTTTTTTTCAATTTTTTAAAGTTTTTTTTTTAATTTTTTTTTTACCAATCACAGGCCTCCACATGTCATGTAACCTGTTATAACAGGTTACATGACCGGTTGGGACCAATAAAAATTAAAGACCCTCAAAGGTCGGATTATTAAAAAAGAATGGGCTAAAGGTCGGATTATTGCCATGAACTTTTCCTTTTTTTTAGTGTTTCTTCAGTTAGTTCTCTCTCTACTTCCTCTTTTATCTTGTGGTTGCATTATCTGGCAGAAACTTGGAAATTTAGCTTCTGTTTGACCAATCAATTTCCTCAAGTTTTTAAAGGCAATACTTAGTTGAAATTGAGTATAATGTTGTCGGTAATAGTGATCAAAGGCTTTGTTTTTATTGTAGAGGCATAAGGAAAATTAAGTGGTATTACCATTGCTAAATTGTTGGCATCAAGGCTAAATTATAAAGGCTTCCATTAAGAATTGGGCTTGGGAATTCTGGTTTATGTGTTGATCACACTGTCCATCTCTGAAATAGCACAGCTGATATCTTAGGGCATTAGATTACTGATTAAAAATAGGTTACAAGTCTTACAACTTAATATTAATTATGGCAGTTAGAGCAATAGACATAGAGATCTTTCAGAAGCTAGAATATTAAAGGAATCCACTTTCAGAAGTTCTCAATTTTAAATTTTGTCTCTACTTGTACATTTTAGCATGTATGGAAATGTATCATGTCACTGCATGGTGACTCTTTAGTTTTTACGGTATGCCGGTGTTGAAACCTTCTTTTTTATCTGTACATTAATGTTCTTCTTGATATATAGTTTAAAGGTAGAATGAACCTACTAGGAAAGATACATTTGGATCACCTCAGTGTTCTTTGCACGTTTTTATCCAAAAAATTTCCTTCGTTTTCAGGTGGAGGCCGAAAATTATTGTACAGGACAAACACGGTTATATACTGATCAAATAAGCATGCAACAAGGACAGTTTGCGGCATTAAAAGGTGTGTTATTTTTATAGTGTAGTCTTCTTTAAGTTTCAGTCACCTCCTTTTGACTGCATATTGTCTATGGTATCCCGTATCCTCACCATGCTTAAGTGCTACTAGCTGGGAGTCAATTGATTTTTTTGTTTAATGCCATCCTTTTTTCATAAATTTAGATTCTTGTAGGGAAATAAAAAAGTAAGACTAATTCTGTTTCAAATTTTAATAGCCTTCAGAAGTGATATCAAACTGGATTAAAATTTAATTGGTGCTAAGCATATAGAACAGTATGTTTGGAAATCCAAGGATTCTGCATTGGCAATGTAAAAACTGTAAAGAAAGAGTTCGATACCGAATTGTTTTCGTAAATTACATATCCCTTGTAACACTATCATCATAGCCGAATTTTTGATCTGTCATCCTTGCCCAATTTCTTCAGCGTATGGTAGAGCTGCATGACAGTGCTTAGTTTCCTCCAAGTCCAGAGGTTGTTGAACTATATGGACAATAAAAGGTCATGCAGTACTGATGATCAACAATTCAACAGCTCCTGTCTGTCTTGCCTTTTGTCCTGTCATATCTTTTGAGTAGCTAGCTCTTATTCCATGAGAAATGCTTACTATATATATGGCTTTGACCTGCTGCAGCTTTAATTAGAATGCCTAGGAAAACATACAAGTTTTGTTACTAAATTGTTGCTGGTCTAAAATGGTTCAGGCATGGAATAAAAACGCGGTCGCGTTTGTGGTAATGGTCGTGTTGTCGCAGAAACGGCTTGTAACGGTTAAATAGAATGGATCGCGGATTTTGCGGTGTGATTTAAAAAAAAAAAAAAAAACAAATAAGCAGAATTTTAGCTTCTTTACTCGTTGCCTTATTATTTATACCATATTATGCTAAAACTATGACAATAACAGTTCTTAATTTTTTTTGAAACACTTATAAATTTTGGCTGTGGTTTCTTACTAATTTGGGTTTTTAAAAAAAAAAGGATAAAGATGACTATGTAATAAGTAAGTCAGTAACTTACCACAAAGGATAAGTAAAGGGGTAAAAAAGTGATGGGACACAACTGTCACAATAAGAAGGGTTTTAAAAAAAAAACCCAGTAAAAGTGGGAAAAGGGGGACAGCTGTAAACTCAGTAGTTCTGCTAATCATGCACTTAGCGATTCTTAAACTTGTGTTGCCTTTTTGCTATGTAAACGCTGAATAAGCAAAGTCAAAACACATTAGCAGGTAGTGCCTGAGGGCACAAGGAGTCATTTATGAGTTGCAGTTTTGGAATGTGAGTGAGATAATAAAGATATGTGTAGACATAAGGTTGTCTTAATTTTCATAGAGTGGAATAGCTTTATTAGGTTACAAAATGGTGTTTTCATATAGTTACGCTTAAAAGAAAAATGAGAGGAAAGAGTGTAAAACGGAGGGGAGGAGGAAGAAGGGGGAAGAGGTTTTAAACCTGTTTCTCCTTAATTGCCCAAATTGAGCATAAACCTTAATTTTATTTTTGATTTTACAGTGTTGAGCCTCTATCAAAAGGTTATTCTTGGTTTTAGGGATTATGTGTTTCCCCCCTTCTCATTAGATTTGTTTTGTCTTTTTGGTGACAAAACGAAAAAGTGTGCCTACGGCTTTTAAACTCTTCACAGGTACATATTGCTCATCGTAGAATGATTTCATTTCTGTTTTGTAATGCCTGCCAATGTCCATCAAGTTATAATTCTTCACCCTTACTAATACTGCTGAAATTAGTTGATTAGTCTGTTAAGTCTTGACTCTTTTGAAACTATAAGACCCAACTATTCAAATGTCAAGGAGCATGGAAGAGTGTGATTTATATCTTTTTCACTTGTAATTTTGTTTTTCTAAATTCATGTGCATTTTCATTTTCATTTTCAATGCCCATATCCATTTCATTAATTTCCAACGTACATTCTTTTTGTTTTTCAAAACCAGCCACAAAGCAAGGATTATCTCCCTGGGAATACTTGAGTAACCAGGGTAGGTTCAAAAGGTCAGATGATTATGTTGGTAAACCTTTAAAAAGAGAAGTTGCATGTTACTTTAAGATACAGTTACTCTGTTTTCTAACATGTAATTTCTTGTTTGTATATAAATTTCACTTGAATTAATTTGTCCTGAAACTTAAATTCACTTTCACGATTTTTCTAAAGTCCAACCATTTCTTTTGATAGTTCTGTATTTCATTAATTTGTTGATTTTTAATTGTTCCAAAATGTTAACTTTCTCAACACAATTATATGATATTGCAATTTGCCTATTTGGCTGTGTTGACTCATCACCTTGCTATCATTTTATTAACAAAGTGGATACCTTCAGTTGAACCCTCTTTTTTGCTTCTGTTAACAAAGCAGATACCTTTTCTTTTCCTATACAATTGAACTTGATAATGCAAAGATAATGGAAAATTGGCATGGACTGAAAGCTAGCAGAATGGTGCTTGCTTACTATTCCCTCAATATTCCACTACTTTTAGAAGCTAATCCATTTATATGGCATTCCTTAGATTTATGTATTGATGGTTCCTCTTGACAATTGTAGGGTAAACCGAGCTTCCATCTTTTTGGGATTTTGCTGTGTGCTGCTGTAACAGCTGTCGGAGCTCTTAAGTCAGTTGTTCAGGGAATTTTGCTGTCTTCTGAAGGGTAATGAACATATCCTTTTTATCGGTTTGTTGTTTATTCTTTCTCATTTGACGTATAGTTTTTAACTTGCTCATTTGCCCCACATTTGTCATCGTAAGTCTTGTTGATGGGATACTAATTGTGATTTATTATGCATGGTGTTAGGGTATTGATTATTGAATGTTATAATCTACTCTATAGCTCATAAGACTCTTGCACTATTATTCACATAATTTGGACTTAGAGTAGCTATCAATGAGAAAATTGTCATATGTAAAATTTATCAGTGTGTAGCAGTTTGGACTCTTCTGTCATATGCAAAATACATCTTGTGGACTCTTCTGTCCTAGAAAATCAGGATAGTTTCTCAGTGCTTATGTTTGAAAAGTAATAGGTTCGTGTAAAAGTGCAGCGCTAAGATTTTTGAATGAGACAAGCTTTATCAATGTGCTTGCTCCTGGTGGTAAGTAGGTCTTACCATCAGAAAAGGCTTCAGGTCAGAATAGAATCAGTCAAGAATGCAATGCATATATTTAATCAATATTATCTGGTGGGTACTGTATCTAAGCTCTTGCATATTCAGCAGTATTAAAAATGTGGCCTCCTTTCAACTATCTTAACCCATGGTTTGCTGCTGGCTCTGCTTGATTGTTTCTGTACCTGATCTTATCTCTTCCTCTTGGTCCCTTTGCAAGGAGAGTAAGGGGTGTTTGGGCCCTTGTGAGAGTTAGCTTTTCTGTGTGTCAGTTTGTTCGATATAGGGCTTCCCTTAGAAGAAAGAAATGACTGCAGTATGGTCTTGTATAGTGTAAGCTGTGTAACAAGTCTCTTTTGAAGCTTAAAGGAGGAGTTTCTTCACTTTTATAGTTTTAGGCATGTGGGTGGTATTGGGGATTGGTGAATTAACCACTCGAACAATGTGTTTGAAGAACAGAGTCAACAGTCTCTAATATTACTTTTTTATGATTAGTATTTCCTTTGCTATTCAAAGTTATATTTAGTACTTAACCTAGATTTGGAAATGTGACACATGTTTACTTTTTGATTGTTGACTACCCAATCTGATTTTCCTTTTGAAGTACGGTTAGATGAACTTGTCAGCATTTGTACTTTCTTGTTTCAAGCATTATTCTGTGTGGATACAGACTAAACCAGTGTCCTTTTAATCATTGTTTAGCGCTTTGCTCATGATTACCTTGTCACAAATGATGTTTACATGATTACTTCTCATGCTAAGCAGGGGGGGGTAGCTAAAAACAATAACGAAGAACCTAAAATATCTTTGCCCAACACAATGCATCCTTCAAAAGATTGAGGTGTACATGAGCAATTTGGACATTGGAGACCGGATATTTATGAAGGATATTGAAGTTAATCCGTCATTGAAGCTTTTAAGTGGGAATGATACAAACCTATATGCAAGACTGGCCTCAGAAGTAGAAAATTCGGTACCTCTAGAAGCTAAGAAACTAGCAGGAACTCGGTTCTTGATTGAGTGTTAATTTCAATTTTTGCAACCCAAATTGAAGAAAATTTCTTTCTGATTTACTATTTTAGCTCTGGTTTTGTCAACTTCGCTCTTAATTACTATTGTGTTTTGGAATTTACTCTGTCTATTGATTTATGCAGAATTATGATTGTGGATTTTTCTATTGTTGAATGTATTTATAATTCTGTATTGATTGGGTTTGGATATGAACAGTATAGTAAGAAATTCTGGTGGGTTAATGGGATTGAATTCATGCTTATGTGGTCATTAATCCACCTCGTTCTTTTACCTACATATTAGTAAAAAAAAAAACATGGTCAAAGTGAGTTTGGTGAATTGTGTAACATGGAGAAGGTGAACAATTAATAATAAAAAGAGTTATATACATTCTCAAGCAGGCCTTATTTCATACTCTGTATTTCTGAATGTATTTTGAAAACCTTTCTTGTCAGGTCCTTGTGAATGTGGTTCATGTTGGAGTCGGCCCTATTTCACAATCTGATCTGGACTTAGCTAAAGCTTGTGGAGCTTGTATTATCGGGTTCAATATTTGTAGCCCACATGATTCCATCAATCAAGAACCTGAAAGAGCCAAGATAAAGGTACAGACAGTTCTGTTGTGTTTTATAACAAGATTGAGGTGCTGTAATTTGGTATTATACTTTTCCTGCTGTACTGACTATTTTCGCAATAATTTGTTTTGAATTCCTTTCTATTTCAGATAGTACTGCATCACGTGATCTACCACCTCCTGAACGACATTGGTGCTTGATACGGGTGGCTGGGGAAGCACAAGTGCTTGATATTTTTGAGATCGCTGGTAGAAGCAAGGCTATAGGGGCTGATGTTAAGATTGCGGGCTGTAAGGTGATAACTGGTCACATAGCTAAGTCTTCAACTATGAGGCTTTTAAGAAGTGGGGAAGATGTTTCTGAGGGTTGTTGTGCATCTCTCAAGCACAAGCAGCAAGATGTGGAGACGGTTATCAAGGGAAAAGAATGTGGTGTTGTCATTCAAGGTTGTTTTGATTTTCAGATCGGTGATTTGGTCCAAAGCTTGGAGTAAATCAGACAGAAGCCCAAGTTCATATCATCAGATAATGGTGTGTTCGAAATTTCGAATTGAGTGCTGATGTTTAAAGATAGCTAAATGGAGAAGAGAAAAGATTACTTTAACCTGGATACAAAAGGGAGCTTAATTTCTTTATACCTAGAATAAATTAGATTGTTACCCGGGAATTTTTTGCCCACTTATAGTTTCTGTTTATTTATTTGGCATATATACATCAAAGTTTGATGTAAAAGGGGTGATTAGGAATTTTGACATCAATAGTTTGGAGAATGTTACTTAAATTGTATATAGAAGAACGCCCTATGTCTTGTAAATCTAAATATTTGATTTTTAGCCACGAACTAATTAGTTATCAAAGTGCATCAGTGCCTGTGGAATTTTAACATCAATAGTTTGGAAAATTTATGTTAGTGTAATTAGTTTAATCTTTGAGAAGTAGATTGTTTTAGTTTTATAATGATTAAAAGTTCATCTACTAATCACATATTTGAAAAAAAAAAAAAAAATTGTTAGATTTAAACAAATTATTTAAGTTTTACATTGATTCAATTCATTGTTAAAAAATATTTATGGTCTAAAATTGATTGGAGTCTTATGGGAAAAGTGCCAATGCTGAAAATAAGCATGTCAAGAACTTTGGCTTGTCACATTCATCTCATGTTTTTGGGTATTCATTCTTGGCTTTTTTGTTCATATGATTATTTATTGTTTTACAAATTGTTGTTCTTTTTTATAAAATAGTTTGTTGAAATGTTAATAAATATTAGTGAAAGTTATACTTTTTTTTTCTTCTTCCAGGTTATACTCTTGCTTTGGGGGGGGGGGGGAGAATTAGCTTATATTGGTGAGCCCCAAGTGTCTCGAACCTAAATCTTGATGGATGGTAAAACGTCAAAAAAATCATTTGAGAAACACACCGATAACAAAATCATTCGAGAAAATACATTGATAACATGAAATCGCAAATCTTGATGGATGGTAAAACGTCAAAAAAAAATCACTTGAGAAACAACACAAATAACAAAATCAGTCGAGAAAATACATTGATAACTTGGAGAACCGCGCGCATGAGCTGCATTATTGATCAAATGCAGCTCATTTATTTGTTGCTAATGTGGAATGCAACAAATATAACAGTACATTTTTTTGGCGAGAAAGAAAAGGTATAAGTTAGGGTTTTATTTTGACATTAAACTAATAACTTACTTGCAACAATAATAATGGTTAGCTATCCTTATACTATCCAATTTAATGACAAATTAAATTTAACCAAATTGGGGGACATAGTTGGTTGATGAAATAGTTCTTTTAATATAACGATACTAGAATTAATCAGTCATTCTTCTAAACTTCCCTTCCCCAATCAACTGAATATAGAGGGGGGCCGGTAGAAAGAAAAATGTCAGGAGAGATAAAGGAGCCAAGGAGAGATAAAGGAGCTAAGGGAAAGAGTGTGGTCGAGAGAGTAATAAAGAGCAAATCGGAAAAAATAGAGGAGAGGGCATGCCGAGAGAGGAGAGGGTTCTAGAGAGAGAAAGAAAGAGAGGCCAAGAGAGAGTGAGAGAAAAAGGGATTGGCAGAGAGAAGCCAGGATAAGTGCTTTTTTCATTTTTAATGTTTGTACAACCATAGAAAGAATGGGAGAGAAAGAGAGAGATGAAGATAGAGGGGGAGAGGGAGAAATAGAAGGAGAGAAAGGGGGAGGGAAGGAGAGAAACATGGACTAGAAGATAGAGATACATAAAGAGAGAGAAAGGAAACTGGGAAAGAGAAGGGTTGGAAGAGAGACAGAGACAGAGAAAGGCAGGTTGAGAGACGGAGAGAGTAGTTTGAAAGAGAGTAGACTAGGAGAAGAGAGAGAGAGAGGCCGGAGAGAGGAGCCAAGATAAAAGAGAGAGGTAGAAAGAGGGTTTATGAAGGAAAGAGGGTGAGATAGAAAAAGGGAGAAAGAGAAATAGGGCTATAAGAAAGAGAAATAGGGCTAGGAGAAAGAGAGGGGGTTGGAAGAAAAAGAAATAGAGCGATAAAGAGAGGGGGGACTGAGGGAGAGAGAGAAAAAGTGAGTGATATAGTGATAAAGGAAGAGGCTCGGGAGAGAGAGAGAGAGAGAGAGAGAGAGAGAGAGAGAGAATGGGGGAGGCCAGAAGAAAGAGGGAGATAGAAAGAAGTTGGGAGAGACATAGCGGCTGTCATGATAAAGAAAAAGGAGAAGAGGCTAAGGGGGATCAGAAGTACGTGCAACCTACAATTTTCAAAGCCTTTTAGAAGATGGAATGGGGACAAGAAGGATTAAGAAATGAACAGGAGAGTGAGAGACAGAGTGGACCAATAAAGGAAGGAATAAGTGAGAGGGGAGCAAGTGCGACCTATAATTTTCAAAACCATTAAAAAAAAAGAGGGAGCAGGGAGACAAGGCCAAGGGGGGATAAAGGGAAAGAGATAAAGAGATGTTTTAAAGCAATAAAGGAAGGAAGAGGTGAAATATTTTAAGAGACCATTTTTAGTATTTAATTGTGGAAGAGACTTCGAGGCTATGGAGGAGGGAAATGGAGAGAAATTAGGAATGTGAAATAAAAACTGAAAAACGTGAGGGGATTTAAGGAAAGAGAAAGAGATGAAGAACCTTTTAGTTGACCATATTTAGTATGTAATCAAGGATAAGGTAAATAGTAATTTTTTTAAATGATTCTAAATTTTGTAAAACCATATAAGTTAAGTGTTAAAATGTAAAGGAAGATAAAAAAGGATGAGAGTGGGGCTGAGAAGAGGGGGTGGCAAGTAAAGATTGACTTTGTAATTTTGCTAAATTATTAGATAAGGAAGGAGGGAGAAAGTGAAGGATGGAGAAAGATAGTGGTTTGTTTCATGAAAAACTAAATTCTTCTAAGCATTCAAATATTTGTGAAATCTGCAAAGCGAGAAAGAATGAAGGTGAGGGGAAGGAAGGTATCAAGTTTTAAAAGTCTATTTGAAATTTTTCAAAACTGTAAAAAACGGATGAGTAGTAGGAGAAAGAAAACGCATGATCCTACATTACATATTTACATGTATACATTAGTACTCTTAGAAAGACATATTTATTCAACCAATCAAATTAAAATTCAACTTACTCTACTGTATAAAGCCCTAAGAGCTCTTTCCTAAAACAACACAAGAAGAACACCTATTTATATTCGTTAGAATACAACCTTGAATATAAATATTAAGCGAATATAACTTATAATTATAATAAACTAATTAATAAAATCACAATAAACATACATCAAGAATTAGGGATTATTAAAAACCGAAAACGCTTAAGCGCTAAAATTATTTCAAGACCAAGTGATCAGTTTATTTTGGCAAATTGGAAGACCGCGCCTAGGGTTGTAGGAAGATATCAATTTATTTGGTCACCTCCTATGGTATAAGGTAGGTTCCAAAGTAATCACCACTACTTCAATTTTAGATATTGTGGATTTGTATTATATCATCCTTTGCGTTCTAAATTGTGAAATTGTACTATTGAATTGACTAAGAGTCTAGGGTGGTGTCTGAGCGTCCATCACATCTATTGCATTTCATGAGCATTGCAAGGCCTTCGCTTCTCCAAGTGGAATGACTTATTTTCAAATAAATCAGATTGGGACAGTCATAGAAGCTATTGATTCTATCAAGATGGTTAAAGATGCTCGTTGAGGAGTTATAGTAGCTCATAGGAGTGGTGAAATTGAGGAAACTTTCATTGTTGATCTATTTGTTGACCTTGCTACTAGTCAAATCAAAGTTGGGGCCCCTACTAGCAGAGACGAGATGAACGCTTATACAAGTATACTGCCACCCATGGGAGGATGTTCTTCACACATAGTGAAGCAATTCCAGATAGCAGGGGTGATTACGGACCCATGGGAGTACGTTCTCTATGCGAAATGAAGTTTTTCCTTTGGCAGGTGGGTATGAACCTGCTTTCTTCGAGCACTCTTCTCCATTATGCTCTACTCTTGGGTGATTCTACGTTTTGCATTTTAGAAATACTCTATCTTGTTGAATATTTAGAGTGTTGATGGTTGCGCGCTCGCGAACCATGAAGAGCGTCCGCGCAAGGTAGGCCCAGTCGCGCAGAGAGCGCGCCTAAACCGCGTACCTCTCTGTAATTTGGCAAATTGGAAGGGTGAGGATGGCGCGCCCGCGCATCCTGGTTGGCGCACCCGCGCTGCTGGTCGCGCCTAAACCGCGTCCCTCACTGCCTTTTTGTGAATTTTTACAGATATTGTGAGGAGCGCCCGCTCCACCTGGTGGCGCGCCCGCGCCTCCCTGTTTTGCGGTTTTTTCTTGACGCTTGAGTCTTTTATTAAAAGGCTTATTTCGTGAAAGAAAGATATAGAACAATTGATTCTTCTTCTCCCCAAGCAGTATTCTCTACAATTTTCTCTCAAATTTCTTGCAAACTTTTGTGAGGAAACTCTTTCAATTAATCCAATTTTGGTGAATTTATCATCTTGATTTTGATTCTAGTACTAAGAACGAAATTGTTGTCAATTGTATCTCAAAAAGGATTTCCAGTTAAACCCAAGTACCGTGTGGGGGAAATAAACCTCTTTAAAAAAGTGTTTACACGCCTTTGACAGTGTATCAAGGATCTAGTCTTACGGGACATTGGTATTCTCATGTTCATGCTTGGTTGTATCGGCTTGGAGTTAAGGCAAGTTTGATTATCTTCACACTAGTGTTGTCTTTAGAAATTTCTGCAATTTCTTAGATATTTATTACTTGATTGAAAATACTTTGTATTGTATTTTGAATTATTACATTTCATTATATTGTATTCATATTATTTAGGTTTTGTTCCCACACAAATTTAAGTGTTTTTCTTGTTTGAAATCACTGTAAAACTCTCTTTCTCTCTCTCATTATTTTTTTTTTGTTAAAGTTAGTATTGTGTGTAGTCTTTATTTCCTAATTTGGACTTTTCACTTGAAGTCTCAAGGGATTCTTAGCCAATCTCCTTCATTCTTTTGAATTGATGAACCCCTACTCATGATATATATTTTATAATAGGTTATTTGTTATAAGATTAATACACATTTAAGGATTTTATCTTGTACCTTTATTGTTTTATACTCCAATAAATGTCAATATAAAATGAAAAACAATATTGTTGTCATACATACGCTTCATAGTTGAAAGTGTTAATTATTATGAAAATTAAAATGACAAGTATTATGAAAATGAAAATAAAAGTGACAAGTATAATGAAAATAAGGTTCAAGAAAATAACACTACTAGAAAACACCTTATTTACGACGGAAAAATTCCGTCGGTACACCTTATAAATCCGTCGGAAAAGGCTGTTTCCGACGGATTTCCGTCTAAACACGTTGTCGGAAACCCCTTTGTAGGAAATTTGGCTTATACCGTGGGATTTTCCGTTGGAAAAGGCCCTACCGACG